CAAATTTAACTACAGAAACATATTTATGGCATTAAATCATTACATTTATATTTATGGTAGGTAATCTATACAGAATAGGAAAACAATTTTGATGACATTTTTTTGCAAGTACCTCTATCTATTCAAATGGCAATAAAATAAAGACACTAACTAATAATTGTTTTGTTTGTTGTGTTCTTTTATTAGTACCTTCATTTCTTTTCTTTTTTATCAAAATTCAAAAGTACTTTGTTTCTTATGTTATGTATTAGTAAGTATATTCATATGCTGGGACATTAGAAGTTTGTTCCAACTACTACAATCCATTATTGGTAATTTGGTACAGAGAGTAGACACCAAAATGATGTTATCATCATATTTGGTCATCATCATAAAAATCCCCATTATGGTCGTTAGGTCCAAAATTTGATCTACCATTATGAATCCAAATTATATTATTGCGAAACAAAAACTTTTTATTTACAATGTGTACTCGATGTAAACAGTTTCTATATACATAATCTCACAATTACTGAATTACAGAGACCAAAAACAAAAGATATCACAAAGAAGATCACAAGAGAAGGAGAGAAACAAAGAATCAGACAACACAAGAAGAAGCCAAAAAAAAAAAAACCCATAATCAATTTTAAGAAGAAGAAGAGAGCCAAGGGTGGTTTAGTGCCTCGAGAGCCGTTGGACGTTTCAATGGATTGATCTCAAGTAGATACCTTACAAAATCTAAGAACAATTCATCACTAACATGTAATTGATCTTCCAAGCATGAATCTTCTGTGATGATGTACTCAATCTCATTGCTCTCCTATCACACCAAAACAACAACAATAATGCATTAGATTCGACATTCGAGCAACAAGTCTTACTCTTTCGGTTAAATTAAGAGATATTACCTCGTTTAAGTGGTAGAGATCATACTCCTTGGTGAAGTATTTATGTGTCTCTTGCCCTTTCTCTAGCATCTCAGTCTCTATAGGACCTAAAACCGCAACAATCCGAGCCAATATCATCGCTACTGCTTCGTTTGGAAACAGAACCTGATGAAAACATAATCATATACATTGATCGATCCGTGTTACTAGTTTCTTCGGTTTGTAGATTAAAACATATAGATGAGTTTCTACTGGAAACCAGACAGTACCTCACCAGAGCAGAGCTCTGCTAAAATACACCCGAGAGACCACAAATCGATCTTTTCGTCATAAGGAAGTCCGAGAATCACTTCGGGAGCTCTATAGGACCGCGATTGTACATACAAGCACAAGTTATCAGAGCGGAAACAACTACTTCCAAGATCGATGATTTTTACCGCGCACTTTTTGTAACTCTTTATCAGTATATTCTCTGGTTTGAGATCACAATGTATGATTCCTAATCCGTGAAGAAAGACAAGAGCATCCAAACACTGTCGAGTTATAACCTGAGGAAACAGAACATCACTTAGAAAAATATAGCCGGTTTACGCATTTTCTTCGGTCTGGGAGAAACCACTAACCTTGAGTCTGCTTAAGTTAAAGTATGGTTCTCCTCCGGATTCTTGATTGAATTTCTGAAATTCATACAAGTTTGCTCGTAGAAGTTCACAGACGATAAACAGATGTTCCTGTTACAGATTTTCAAGAATAACTAATTCCTCGAGACCAAGAAACCGATATTTTTATGTCTTTCTAATTCTTTTACCTGATGGTAGAAGTAATCGTAGAGGCGAAGGATGTGATGTTCATCTGCCGGATCATGCTTATTGACATGTTTCAATAGCTTGATCTCGTCTAAACTCTGATCGAAGAAATCTTTATCGTTCTTGATAATCTTGAGGCAAACATCAACACCGTTTTGTAGATCATGAGCCTGAACCACCTTGCTAAATGCAGCTGAACCAATGTATTCCGTAATGTAGTATCTTCCTCCAATCACCGTGTTAAGCACAATCGGTAGATCCTTGTTCGCTTCGAATCCCGTCCTGTAAAAAGAAACGATCACAACAGATTATTATTTACACATTCCCAATCCTTTGAAAAGCATCATCATAATCAAACCTGTTTTTCCAGTGAATGATTCTAAGATCAAACA